AACTTAACCTACTTTATATTAACTTTGTTCAGTTCAAGGCCGTGTTGAAATCAAACACTCAATCTGTTTTTATTGCGTATATCTCGTCAATATTTCATATCTAATAACGATAATATTTTGTAGGGCTGTGTGATTATTTGTTTCTTATAATTTGCAAATGTAGACTAGGGTGCGGATTTTATGCTAAAAAATAAGCCTAAAAACATGTACTACCTTAGCTATATATAAGCAACATTTATGAATATTATGTATACACTTTCCTTAAAGTTGTGATGGTACTTATTTTTGCTTAGTGTTTGGCCGAGCTTCGCCTCCAATTTTTGATATGCGCCTTGATGTTGTTACACAAGTGGAGGGGCGCACAGTTTTAGGCTATTTCCGAACGGTAAATTTATTTTATGAAAAGCTTTTTCATGGCAGAAATTCCCTCGTAGGTTAGCCTTTGCCTGCTGAGGGGCGAAATTTTCTAATTTAGGTATTTTATTATTTTTAGGGCAGGGATCGAACTCAGGTTTTACGAAGTGGTTGTACGCACCTCTAACTACTCAACCAAAGTTGCCACTTAAGGGCTTAATTTGTATATAAAATTGTCTCTCGAATTCTTTCCATTTTTCAGTTTTTAGTTTGTCAAAAAACAGTTTATCTAAAACAAGTAAGAAAGTCTAAGTTCGGGCGGAGCCGAACATTAAATACCCGGCGCAAGTATTAAATATATGTTTTTTCACCCTTCCGAAACCTTCCGCTAGATGGTAAGCCGAGGTGTATCAATTTTGAGTAAATTAGCGTCCTTCTATTTCGAAATATTGAAGTTTCAAGCATTTCTTAAATTTACCGTTATATGAGAATCGGCCGTTATTTTAGTCCGATTTCAATAATTTTCAACGTTTTGCTTACACGTGGCAAGTACAATAACCATACCGAGTTTGGTACAAATTGGTAGAACGGTTACCGATATACTTATATGTGATCATAAGTGGGCGGTGCCACGCCCATTTTCCAAAATTTTACCATAAACATATTTCTTGGTAAAGAATTGTTGCAAGCATCAATTTTGAATAAATTAGCTTCAATATTTACTGATTTATCGAAGATTTTGTATTTCTCTAAATTACCGTTATATGGGATGTGGGCGTGGTTTTTGTCCGATTTTAAAAAGTTTCCGCGGTTTTTTATGCTGTACCAAGGCCAACAACTGTGCCAAGTTTGGAAGAAATTGGTGCAGCGGTTACCAAGATATACACATGTAACCATAAGTGGGCGTGGCTACGCCCATTTTCCAAAAATTTATAATATTCTTATTTTTCGTCTAAAACTTATTATAAATATCAATTTTGAGTGAATAATCTCCAGTAGTTACTAAAATATCGCAGTTTTCGTATTTCTGAAAATTACCGTTATATGGGAAGTAGGCGCGGTTATTGAGCGATTTTAAAAATTTTCGGCCATTTGGTATGTTATGCGAAGGCCAAACACTGTGCCAAGTTTGGAAGAAATTGGTGCAGCGGTTACCAAGATATACACATGTAACCATAAGTGGGCGTGGCTACGCCCATTTTCCAAAAATTTATAATATTCTTATTTTTCGTCTAAAAATTATTGTAAATATCAATTTTGAGTGAATTATCTTCAGTAGTTACTAAAATATCGCAGTTTTCGTATTTCTGGAAATTACCGTTATATGGGAAGTGGGCGTGGTTAAAGTCCGATTTCGCCCATTTTCAATACCAACCTACCTTGGATTAAGGGAAACCTACATACCAAATTTCGTTGAGATATCTCAATTTTTGCTCGAGTTATCGTGTACACGGACAGACGGACAGACGGACAGACGGACGGACAGACAGACATGGCTTAATCGATTTCTTTTTTCATCCTGATCATTTATGTATACATTTGTCTATATCTATCTCGATTCGTTTTGGCTGTTACAAACAACCGTTATGTGAACAAAATTAATATACCCTTGTGCACAAGTGCGCTCGGGTATAAAAACAAACGTCCCAACGTCAAAAGGCAATAAAATATGTTAAAATGACCTTAAAAACATCAACCTGGCAACATTGATTTGCATTCGCATGGCATATACCAACTCTCCGGATTTTAAGCAATAAATTTGGTCCTAAAGAATTTTACAGCTTCTTAAATGATTAG